ACCTTAAGTTGACTTGTCATTTGACTTCCACTTCATTTGAAACATATTATTTTGTGTTCAATATTCACACTGTGAGCAAAGCCAGTTCCTAGGTCCGCCCTGTGAAACGCCCTTCTTGTCGTTGTGACAACACTGGATGTTGCTGTGTTAATTCTTCTCTCTCTCCATGTGTTCTACTCAGAGTGAACACAAGAAGATCCGGGCTTCTCTGTTTGGGCCATACTTAACACATGTGCATACACAGTGTCAGCTCCCTGGTATGGAAACCAAGTCCTCTTGGTTTCTCTACATTCCATTCTTTGAGGCTAGTTACTAATTTTGTACTGTTGTACATTAGGAAACAGGGTCTTTCTTCTGAAAAAATGAGAACTTGATTGCTTTTTCTCTGATCACCAATGTGAATACACAGACAAATTCACACACACTCTTCCCATCCTGTCTTTCCACTCTTTCTTAAAGAACAATGTTTAGTGTTAACTTTATTGTGTATGTTTAATGCCATTCACATTTGAGCCAAATAACAGAGATTTGTTTAACTTTGAATCTCTGAAGTACAACAGATATGAAGGACCTCCCCTTTTTGAGCTGTAGAGGTGAGGGTGAAGTAGTTCTGTTCATTAGACATTTGTCAAGACACAAACAGAGTAGAAAAAGCCCAAACTCCTTCAGTCCCTTTACTTTTTTTCCTGGTTACCTTGCATTGATGCCTTCCTGTGTTGGTCATATTAAAAATCACACCTTTCAACAGAGCCAAACTATTTTTTCCAACCCAGGGTCATTTCTAGGGGACAAACCGGAAAAAGTTGGTGTCAAGGAAAAATAGAGGGTTCCTTTCTGAAAAGTCATTAAAAATTTCAGGATGGCAAAAGGAGAGCATTAAACCTAACACAGGCCCTTTTACACTAATTTTGAGCCCATGAAACCTGTCCTTTTTTGCAGGGCAAATGGAGTTATTTATCCTCCAAATTAATTACACACCGACCGCAGTTCATAAAATCCCTACAGACTTATTACTGGTATCATGTTTAATGGTTTCAAACTATAGGCTGTTTTACTAGAAATGAAAAAAATAGTGAGTATTGTAAATGCTTAAGAAAGATACATGTGCTCTGAAGGGTGGAAGTGGGTGCTTGCTCATGTTAATGCTCTAAGACAGTGGCATCACTGAGGACAGTGACACCAGTGACAGGATCAGCTCTAGTGATCAGCAGGTTAAGTAAAGCAAAAACATCCACATCTCTGACCACTCAGGGATCAGCTGCATCTATGAGGATTTCATGGCTCCAATACTCTTGACCACGCTGGACATACCCCCTAGACTAAAGAAGAAATTTCTGCATTTGTACCTGTATCTAATACATGTTAGAAGAATAAAAGCTGCTTTTGTGTAGCCTCTTGTGGGAATTACATGCAGACTCCTAGTCTTTGGGGTGTGGCTGTGCTTTCCACGGCAATAATATAAGAAACACTGAACAGAGTCTACTCCTCAGCAGAGACAGAGCTCCTCAGCAGAGATAAAGACAGAGCAGAGAACGTGAGCTTTAAAGTCACAAGGTGGCCAGACCTCCTTATCCTGACCTGGGTTCTATCACACCCACCAACATAAGGAATGGTGGGGAGAGAAGCATCCATCACAAACGGAAGTGGTACATCCTGGATGAAACAAGGACAGCTGGCCCAGACCATTGGAACCACTGGTCCAGCACTGTGACCTGTCACATAGTTTCCACCATGGAATCAGAAAGTCCACTATTGCTAGTCAGCAAAGAAGGGAAATTTTGTTGTAGTAAATTTCCATTTACTACAAGTTTTCCAGCCCTCAAATCCCCATTCACTCCTCACACCATCAGACACTATTTTTTCCTCTCCCAAGGCTGCCTCCTCACTGACATGCAGATCCCCTGGGGCATGGCTAACTTGTTGGGTCAGCTGAGGCACAACTTAGTGTTTGGGGATAAGATTTAGTTTTCAAAGGTCTCCTAGGTCATATGGAAACTGGGGCCTTCAGACCACACTCTGAAAGTCTGCTGCACATGTTGCTACTGCATTAGAGCTAATGAATGGAAAACTGTGGCCTTTAATTTAGCCCTCACCCCTAAGCCTGCCCTGCATTTCTCACTTTCTCAGGCTCCATCCCAACCCTTTTGCTAGTCTGACTACCCCTCACTCCAACTCCTTCCCTGTCTGAATCTCATACTTCACAGCCTATTTTCTGTATTTGTGGTGTCCCCAGTCTTACAAACCCTCGTCGCTCTTCAGACTCCTTGCTCCAAATGGGATGTTCATCTTGTTTCTTACTCCATGTCCTCTGTTTGTAACTTCTGCTGCCTGGTACATCTGCTTTTCCCTCTTTTCCCCAGTCATAGAACTCTAATCTGAGTTTTCTAGACCTCATTTTTTTTTGCCAAGCCTGTGTCTCTCCCCACATGCCCACCCAAATCTGGGAGAATGGCTCCCCTTTCTTAACTGCACCAGCTCCAGTGGTTCCTCTCTCATCACTTAGGTCAGCCCCTTACTCATATGCCTCAGCCCCATTCTGAGCTTCTTTAGAAAATATATCCTGTGTGGCTTTCTTGGGTATTATTGATTCAAACAGTGCCTAATACCCCCAAACTCACAAGCATTGTAATTTCTCACCCTGACTCTGAGCAAATCCCATCCCTCTTTGCTCCCCCTGTAAGCACTCCTCAACACACCATGGCACCTCAGAAGCCACAAGGAGCAGGAAAAACAGAATCAGAAGAGCTATTTCACTCCCATTTTTCAAGTTCTGATTGTGGACCTTCTAAAGATAGGCATTTGATTTTGTAAAACCAATAGAGAAATCAAAAAATGAGGACACAGATATTTGACCAGAGCTCCTGGTCACAGATGGCACAAAAAAGGGTCCTCTAGTGAGGCCTTGGGGGAGGGGGCTGATGTAACAGGGGCCTGCCCATTTACTAGAGTTTCTTAGTTTCATGACAGAATATTTTCAAACCTCTGTAATCTTTTCCTTGAAGGTAAGTGAACATGTATGTACAATGAGAATGCTGTTGATGGTTAGGCCACTGCAGAGGTGCAGAGGTTCACACCTGCCCTTTCTGTCAGATTCTAAGACAAATGCCACTTTGAAGCAACTTGGTCCCTGGAGAAATCTGGGCAGTCAGACCCTCTTTTACTGAGGATGCTGATCCACAATGGAGGCAGGGCAACTGGAAACATTTGCTCAGAAAGTTTCCGTCAGATTTTAAATTTTTTAAAAGTTTGAAAATATGGTAAGGATGGACAGTGTGAGCAAGACGACAGGATCACCTAATTATATGTAGATGATGTCAGAGTGAAGTGTGCATCACACAGATTTAAAAAGATGAGAAAAACTTTATTAAAGGTTGCGCAATAGTGTAGTGAGTCGGAATTCAGTGCCCCTGAAAGAAAAGGCTGTGGACGTTTTAAGAACAGGAGAAGGAATCATAGGCTTTTCTGTTTGCAAATTGGCAGTACAGAAGAAGAAACTACAATTTTGCATAAATTCTTCACAGGGTGTCTTTTTACATCATGGTTGTAAATGTTCTCACCCAAGTTAGGTGTCTACCTGCCTTGGGGACTGAGACACAGAAACACCATGATAACTGAATTGTATTAGGTGGGCCCAGGCCCTTTTGACAGATACTCCCAGAATCATAACACTGACTAAAGATTTTAAGGAGGCTTCTGTGTATTTCTTAAGGGCAAAAAAGAATCTACAGTTACAAATTGCAATTACATTTTTGAAGAAAATGCTCTGATAAAATGGAGGTCAGAGGCCTGCAATCTGGAATAATCTGTGTAAAGGTGAGTGACTCTGAGGAACAGGAAGGCCCTGGGTCATAACAAAACTGCTTTCTGCCCATTGGAGGAAAACACAGACAAATCTCTTCCAGCCAGGACCCAGTCTGAACTTCCATCAATTATTGCAATTCATAAAAATGTACAAGTTCCCAGCACTTTATAAACAGGTGCAAAATAGGTGAGGGTTCTTGAGCAGAGTCAGGATCTTATCTCCCCCAAGGCTGTGCTTCTGGAGCTTCCCATAGAGACATTATATTTTTCTACATAGACACCGTCCCTTTGATTAAACATCATCCCTAAGAAAGAAGTGTATTCTTGATTCTATGACATGGCTGGGGTCAGCTGATTTGGCCTGATTACTCATCTAAGTGCAGAGGATCTGATATTTACCACCTTGTTTGCTCTGAGGCAGGAATTTTAAATAAAACATAAGATGGGAGTTTTAATTGCCTCTTGAGTTTAGGAAGCTTCACGCTCACACTTCACCTGCAGTCTCTCTAGCTTTGGGTGACGTCCTTTTCTTCAAGAAATACCGAAAGATTCATCAGTTCTAACTTAGCTCTATAAAGTATGAATTCATTTCTAATTATGTGGACATCAGTTTGAAGTAGAATATTTGAGCTAAAGCCTTGGTTCTATTAAAATGGGTTGGGGAAGCTTGTAGTTTCTTAATTATATCTAATCAGTAAAAAGAACAAAGATGTACTAAATTTATTCAAATAATGGTATTGCCCTATAAATAAGAATACTCAAGAGGCTTTAGCAATTTTTTTTAAAAAAAACAAAGAAAAGATAAGTGTTGCTACCCACATGGTGTCCTCTTGTCCACCCCCACCCCACTGTCTACAAGAGTGTCCCAGGACCTCCACATGTCTACCTGAAGGAGGGACAGAGCTCAGATCCTGTGAGCTCATCACTCGCTTCCATTAGTTATCACAGGACCACTGCTGATCCTCCAAAGAACACAACATCACCTCCACTGTGGAGATGGTACAAATGGGAGCAATCTGAGGTGGGGTGTGGTCTAAAATATGACCTTAGGTCAGCAATAATGACAATGTCATCTCACACTACTATGTATTTATTGACTCAGTGCAAATCCATTAAGATATATTCACCTTCAGAACAAATCTATTGTAACAAGGCAAAACACTTTATTTAGAATTTAATAACAAAGAAGAGGGGAGAGGTCACTCATCTTGGATATGCAGCTCAAGGAGCCAACTTTCAGCGGAACTGATGGGATTGGAGACTTTACACTGATAATATCCAGAATCTTCTCTCTCTACGGGGTCTATGGTGAGGTTTCTGTGGTCCTCAGATAGCTTCCTTTTCTCTGAGAGCCCCAGATTTGTGCCATTGAAGAACCACTCAATGGAATCTGCATTTGTGTGGCAGATGAGGACCACGGCATTATTATTCTCTGGGACTGTGCAGTCGCTGGTTAGGAGGATGGGCGCTTTCACAGGCTCTGTGGAGAAACAGAGAAAATGACTGATTTAGAATGGGCTGAGTCATGGAGCCACACAGCTTCCTCAGAGATCTCAGCCACTCACAGTCCACAGAGAGCTATGCAAAGTCACCCATGTGGGCCGGTTCTCTTAGTAGCTATGAGATAGAAATTTGGAGAAACCTTAAATCTTCCTCATGTGAAAATTATTATTATTAATCCCCCAAGGCTTAAGACCAATTAAAAGGAAGACTATTTCATTGGAGAGCAGAGAAGGGTCCTAGACATGGGTCTTAGTCCCTATAAAGACAGAAGTGTGTGCCCTTAGGACAGAAATCCTAGGAGTCTGAATCCAGTTTCCAAGCTCTGAAGAGATTTTGGATCATTCACTCATTCATTCAATCACCATTTATTCCTTTCTAATTAATCAAAGACAATTGAGTATTTGTTATACATTGGTCCTTAAGCTGGTTTCAGGGGTAGAGTATGCATTGAGAAGGGAAAGTTTTTTCCTTCATACTCCAGTGGGAGTGACAATAAAACATCAGGAAACAAACGATCTGAAACAACAGTTGGTTTAAAAATTCACAGGCACCTCATAGGCCCCTGGATTGGAAGAGAAGACAAGGCTGTGGCTCCAAACAGATCTCGAATGGCCCTGATCAGATTCTCATGGTCTGTGTGACTCTGCTTTAGTGACTGTATGTCTCTGTTTCTCAATTTATCCTCCATGAAGGAGGACATTTGGCTGCCAGGATCTCAGTGTATTAATCATGAAATATTTACAGACTCTGGCCTAAATTTTGGGATAGAGAAGCTGCTGAGATGAGAGGCATCTTGTACTGATCGACTGTGACAGAGAATCCTCTGTGCTGATCCCTGGCAAATGAGGATCTTCCAGGAACATTCTCTTTTCTAAGTTTCTTTCTGGGGATGCTGACCTTTTCCTATACCTGAACTTGTCCTAAGACCCGCAGGACAGTTGGCTAACATCTAACAACATTGTCTAACTGTGCTCTTACACAGAGTCTCAGGTGATAGACTGAACTCTATTTCTGCAAATGTGTAGCTCTTGGGCCTGAGCCTTGGCTGGGGACCAGCTCAGGAGCCTGTGGCTTGGGCACCCATTAAACCACTACCCAGTTAGCCTTTCCTGGGAGGTCAAACTCAACCTAACACAGGCTCCCCAAGTTTTCTGGAGTCAAGATCGCCCAGACAGGGTTCTTGGGAGGGGCTCCCAAGGTGAACTCTGTGAGAATTTCAGGACACTACAGAAACCAGGCTTTGACAGAAGCTGTCAGGGTCAATCTAAGTGTCAAGGACATAGGGGGCTGCACTAAAGCTGGTCTCCATTTGTTGAGTTACTCTTATCAGACTGGTCCTTCTGTCTGCAGTGACAGCAGGGCCAGAAACTGGGAAATGAACTGAGATCTTAGGACGTTTGTCCCCACTCTCTGCATCCTGAGCTGATTTCCAAAGCCCAACCTGGGACAGAATGCAGAGGGAAACAAAGGCTGAGATAAGGGCTGTCCTATGTGTGAAGTAGAAGTCACCCCACAAAATACTCAGATGTCAGAGAGTAATCACTCACCGAATACATCAAGCCATCCGAATCCTACTCGTTGCACTGAATTTGGAAGGTGGGCCACTACGGTGTATATTCCTTTGTCTTCCCTGGTGGCCTTCCTTATCAGCAAGGATCCATCGAGGTCTACTATCTTTCGTCTATCGTATAAACGCCCTTTTACAAATTTTCTCTCCAATATGAAGTAACCTGCGATTAGATCATGAGGTATTCCACTTTCTCCTCTGAACCACCTGTAGCCAGTAACATTGGGAGGCGTATTGCGGAGACTCAGACGTACATCTTTCCCTTCAGCAACATTGGTTGACACAACAGAGAATTGGGCATTTGTCAGCAGGCACCGGAAGGTTAACAGTGAGACTAGGAAAGAAGAGAGAAATTAATGAATATTCAGATCTATGTGTTGGGAGGGAAAGATGAGGACCTGGAGCCTGAGCTTGTTTCTTCAACTCTGAGCCTTGCTCTGGGTGTGAGTGTATCTTCCATGGTTAAGAGCTACAGTAAAGAGAATGGTTAGACCCCTGGTTCGGTTGTATCCTGGTGTACCTGACATAAATTGTTATTATAATGTTTTCATAATTCAATACTCAGTGATGAATAACTTTGGAAGTGAACAGCAATTGAGGTCTTCATGCCTCTCACCACTTCCAGATAACATTTTTCTTTTGCTGAGTGACCTTCCCTACCTATTCTTTTCTCGTGCCCTTCACTCTGAAGTCCAGACAGAAGCCTTCCCTCTTTTCTCAGAGCACTAGTCTCTCTAGAAGATCTCAGGCAGCCTCTCTGTCAGATCCTCAGTCTACCCCAAGGAATTGTCTCCTACTTACCAACAAGCAGGAACCCTAGCCAATGGACACAGCTTCTGCAGGTAGAGAATAACAGCGATCCCATGGTGTCTGCTGTCTGCTCTGTGGCTGGCGCTTCAAAAAGATCTTGAGGTTCCGAAAGGCTCTCAGGCACCTCTGTTCAGAATGCTGCAATCTGCTCTGTGCCCTACCTGTGTGCTGAGCTTTATTCTGGGGAAAGATTACTATTCATGTGCTGGAGGCAGGGTCTGTGCCCAGGAACCCTCCCACTCCTTGATCTCATTTACTCCACCCTGTCTCTTCTTACCAGTGTACTGTCCTTCAATATTTTGGTTCCTGGGAACTGCTGAAGCTTCTGAACTCTACACTCACATGCACACACAAACATATATATACACACTAGCCCAAACTCACATGATGTGTTGAAGAAGCACAAGCCTGGGGTGCCTGGGATTTGGTGTTTTCCCACAGCTTCCTCTCAGGAGCTCAGTACTCTATCCCACAGCCTCTCTCTCTTTCACGTTTGACTGCCCCCTTCAGGACAGATATTCGTGAGCTAGCTCAGATATACCTGTCACAGGGATGTCACACCTGCTGTGCATTCAATCACCTGTGAGACATAGTAAACATGGCTACGCCAGATGACACTTTAAAAATGCAGCTTCACCAGCTGTCCAGATAATGAGGTGCCCATTCAAAATGAGATCCCTTGATGTGAAGGTAGAACCAACTCTCCTGCTCTCCTGTGCACAGAGGATGTTCCCAGATCCTGCTATACTACAGATTCTGACTTGGCAGGGAGCATTGGGCCTGTATCTAACAGGATCCCAGGAGAGATTGATCCTACTGGCCTGTGGAGCACACTTGCAATAGCAAGGCTGATGGGGACACATGTATCCCTGAAAGGATGGCTCAGTCTCTCCAGCATTGGTCTCTTCATTGACTTGGTCCTGGGTCTGTCAGAACCACACAGAGAGCCCCAGGTGTCCTAGAAAGTTGGGGTGATTTCTGTCTGTGACACAGAAACCCAGCTGGGAATTCAGGCTGCTTCTTGTTCTCAAATGCTCTGTGGTTTTATTTCCTCCTAGCAGGAAGGTCCCAGAGATAACTCTGGAGGTAGAAGGGGTAAAGCTGGGTGACAATTCTATAGAGAGCCTTTTTCTTTCTCAGGTGTCACCATCCTGGCTTCTGATTCCAGGGACAGAGACCCAGGATCATGAGTTTGGTAGAACCTTCACTTTTTAGGTGTGAAGGAGGAGCTATACTGAGTGTCCCAGGAAGAAAAGACTGTAGTGAAAAGTCAGGTGTCTGTGTCATAGATAGATGGGTTCAAGTAGACCTTTCCCCTCCATGTCTGTTTGTGGGGACTGTCCCTGTGCTCCCTGAGTATTGGGACAACCTCTGGTTTCTGGCTGGGATGCTTTCTTGTGGCAACCAGAATTGCCCACCGGTGACATCAGCATAGAATCCCCTGTGAGTCAGTGCTCCTAGGTTATGTAAAACAGAAATATTTAAACCTGTGGAACAATTTAATGAATTTATCTGAGACATATGCCTGGGAGAAAGGGGCTCAAATCTTTTAAAAAGTAGCAGTTTTGCAGTTTATGTTATGCATTATAATTATAGGGGAAGATGGAAATAGTTGCAAGAAATCTATTAGGAACTGAGGAATAGCATAGTGGAGAAATCTCTAGATTTACATAAAAGTCAAAATGGAGAATCTATACTTTTTAAAGATTCATGAGTACAGAATAATTAACATTTTCTGGACATAAAGAGGGTATGCAGGGGACCAGGTAGTATGAAGTGTTTTTTGGATCTCGTATGCTTGTCCTAGAGTCTGTGCCTTGAAATGTTCTAAAAAAGAATCACTCTGATATGCCAAAGTCATACTATTTAAAATGCATAAAAACAGGGGCCAGGGCTCACCTAAACTAAGGATTGACCTTTGCTAAGCAAGGTTTAGGTTTGGGATGTGACAACTGCCATCACCTGCCCAGCTAGAAATTTCTGATCAGACTGTCCTGTGAAGCTTGCCAGGCCTGCCATGTGGCCCCTGAGCTTGTCAGGATTGCAGCCCAGCCCTTTCTGTTAACAGTCTCCAGAAGTAGCAGGTGGGGCAGAACAGGAAGGAGGAAAGGCCTGAGCCAGGTTGTTGAATTAGGGGATGAAAATAAAACTCTTCCATCTTCTTAATTGAAGCCAGGTGTGTTAATTTCTATGTGGTTTTTGTGTAGCTCAGTGTTTTGCCTCGAAGGTCAGGAGCAGACCTACAACCAAAGTCATGTGCTGCACAAGGATGCTACCAGTGCAGGGTGAGCCCCGTGAAAGGACAGAGTACTATGACTCCAGTGCCAGTAGATCTGTCCACCAGGGAGTTGTGCTCTTTCAGACCACGCTCTCTTCTTTCAAGGGTTCTATGAAAGGGCTTAGTTAAGGTTATCCTGAGGTTTTTGTGAGAGGGTTCTGGCTTGATGGGTATATCCCCAAATGTACCATACATCCTCTGTCACAACAATGGGCATTGAATATAAGCCATCTGTGCCATGTGTATCATCTGCTCTAGGGGTCCTCCTGGAGTCCAGGACCTGGAGCAGCTCCAGGTGATGACTCAGCCAGGGGCTCTGTGGGTTATTCTGTTAGGGGAAGTGGGGTTCTTGTAGAAACATCAGGCCCTTGAAGATGAAAGCAAGTGCCCACAGATTTTGGGTTCCCCTGTACTATCTAGAATTTATTCTCACAATTTAAAGGTATGTCATGGTAGATGCAAAAAGAGAGTGAACAGGCTCTGTTAGGTTAAAGATGGATCATTGTCAAAAAAAAAAAAAAAAAGATACCAGCCCAGGACACAAGTACCCACACTGACTTGTTTTAGTTACAAAATTTTAATTTCAGACCATCCTATGTGATTACTTCAGGTCCCTCAGTTTGTAAGTTCACCACACAGGCCTCCCCTGAGCTCGTCAGGTTTAGACCACACCTCCCCATTACAGTCATAAAGCAGTCTAAAGGATGCACTTGTGACCAATCTTTTGGTTAGACAATATTGTCTCAAGTTCTAGGAAGAGATTCTCAGAAAGTCTTAATGGCAGCATTTGTCTTTCTGAACCATAAATCATTGGTGCAGCAAGACCTCATTGTTGGATGGAAATCAAAGCCGAATGAACTCAAAGGAAAAAGCAGGTAAATGGAAGGCAGTCACCCCCACAGGCCTTATTAGAAAAATACTCTGGGTCATTTCTAACCTGTAAGCTATCATGGACTGGGTTTTGTTGTTTGTCTCATTTCTCTGTATTTTGTATCTGGTATTACATTTCCTGATAGTTTGAGGGCACACTACCCACTTCTTCAGTTTAAACATTATCACCATGAGAGGGGTTATCATTCACTATGGCCCACCTGTAATTAATTATTAATAGGATTTTTTCTAGTTACAAACTTGCAAGTTCTAACTTTAAGGTTTATTTGGGGACCAGGCTGTGAGAACACTGTGTTGTAAAGTAAAATTTTCATCTGAAAGTTCCATGGCAGGGAGGACAATAAGAGTTTCATAAGTACCTTTCCTCTGTTTCATCAGCAGCCGTGGAGGGCCATGGTTTATATCCACTTCAGTTTCCATTTGAATTAATATAGTTAGTAAGCCTTTTGAGTTAGAGAGTAAGAATATTAATTAGGTTCAAGCATTTATACATGAAATTCCTTTCCCAATATTCTTATTCCAGCAACTTTCTATAACTTCCTTGATTTTCTTAGCTTGTCTATTTTTACTTATTCAGAAACAACCAGCATATTAAGAAAGCTACATAATTTTAACCTCGCTTAAGTATACACACACCTGTTTTTGTTTTGTGTTCTTTCTTTTCCTTCCTTCCTTCCTTCCTTCCTTCCTTCCTTCCTTCCTTCCTTCCTTCCTTCCTTTTGCTTTTTGCAATAACATTTTGTCTAAATTTCAAAATGTTGCCAGAAAGGTGGCCAAACCCAAGTCAGGTGTGCTAAAGGCCACTGGTAGTGTGTGGGTTCTTCACCTTGTGCAGGAAAAGCTTCACAAAACAAGCCCAAGTGATTTGGGAGAATCTTTATTAATACTGGGGACACTGAAACCAGGATGGGACCAGAAGAGAGACTGGGTGGGCCTGCCATAGCTGTCTTAGAACACTATGGGAAAAAACATGAGGCTAGGAGGGGCTGCTGTCAGCCTATGGCAGAATAAAAAATATAGGAGCTTTGGGGATAATTCAAGGTGTTTGCCCAGGAAAAGTTGCCACTTCCCGTTGCTCCTCTAGTGGCAAGTCTTGTGAGGACCCTTTAGAGTGTAAGAGAAAAAAACTTACTTTAAAAGGAAATTTGAGTAGATGTGCCTCAAGAGGAATGTATACAACTTCCTGTGTTTGATGGAGTTCTTTCTGCTTTCCAAAGGTAAAGATTTAAAGAGAGGTCTCAGGGAAGAGCTCAATGAAGTCACTGCTTTTTCAGGTTTGCCTTTATGATCTGTGATCTCTACTAATGGATGTTGCCAGGGCAGAAGTCTAAGTTACGTGACCAGTAATTTGTCAGGGAGGAAAGGCCAAGTATAACATTATCACACTGTGCCCAGTGCATGTCAAAGTAAGGAATGTTTAACACGTAAAGAATTCTATGAGGTAATCAGAATGAGAAGAAACATTTCAACAAAGTGACAAAATACTCCAGAGAACTACAGTTCTGCACCTTATCTTATAGATTACAATCAGAGGAAAAGGCACAAGAGTTTTCATAAAATCCATTGCTGATAGATTAGGGAGTCAGAAGAAGGCTAAATGTGAAATCACTGGCATTGGATAAAAAGTAAAACAAGTAGACACATATTACTTTTACACTGGTGACTACAGAATAGGTAGCAGTTAACAATTAATGCAAAAACAACAATGAGAAGTTTTTTGGTTTCTGCTCTTGTGCAGTAAGGGTGATAAGGGACTTAAGAGTTGGAAAGTTTAGTTTGAGGTAAATAGTTATAAGCTTAGTAAGTAATGAATAGGTTAAAGCCTTTGTTTCAGAAACTACAGATAAGGCCCATCCTGGCTCCTGGGAAAACAGTCAATCTCCTGGGGCACTGCTGAGGATCACCGCCTGGAGTCAAGTGGAGGCACCTGGGCCTTTGTGTTCCAGGGAGAGAGGTGCCCACCCTCCCCTGGGAATAGCTGACTGCCCAGGGTGAAAGTACTGTAATTTTTTTAAATTTAATTTCCCCTGAATGACAAAACCCCTACTGCGCTTTGTTCTACATTAAACAAAAAGGCCTGCTTGAAAAGAAAATGGATGATGGTCTGTTAGGGTATGAACCCACCATCTTCTCATATTGCTGGCCATCTGAGTAAAACTCCCATAAAGATTCAGTCCCTGTCATTGCTTATTGAGTTTGGTACTGACAGGCAGCCTGAATGCTGGTGCCTTTTCTGGTTTCAAGGGATCCAGAACAATGAATATTTCCCAGACATTTTGAAGGTGCAATATCATAGATTCAAAAAGATGCTGGCCAGTTTCAGTTAAAATAAAGGTTGATGTTTTTTCAGAAAAGAACCAGTTGTAAAACAGAACTACACACTGTGATTAGTTTTTAGTTATCAGGTTTAATTTCAGAGCAGTCTCTGAGTTTGTAAGATTCACCATGCAGGCCTCCCCTGAACTTATCAGTTTTAGTGTATGGCTATTTTTAAAGTATATTTTATTGATTATGCTATTATAGTTTTCCCAATTTCCCCCCTTCATCCTCCTCCACCCTGCACCCCCAACCCTCCAGCATTCTCCCACCCTTAGTTCATGTCCATGGGTTGTACATACAAATTATTTGAATTCTCTGTTTTCTATAATATTCTTAACCTTTCCCAATCTATAGTAAGCCTACCACTGGTCCAGCACTGTGACCTGTCACATAGTTTCCACCATGGAATCAGAAAGTCCACTATTGCTAGTCAGCAAAGAAGAGAAAGCTTCCATTTACTCCAAGTTTTCCAGCCCTCAAATCCCCATTCACTCCTCACACCATCAGACACTATTTTTTCCTCTCCCAAGGCTGCCTCCTCACTGACATGCAGATCCCCTGGGGCATGGCTAACTTGTTGGGTCAGCTGAGGCACAACTTAGTGTTTGGGGATAAGATTTAGTTTTCAAAGGTCTCCTAGGTCATATGGAAACTGGGGCCTTCAGACCACACTCTGAAAGTCTGCTGCACATGTTGCTACTGCATTAGAGCTAATGAATGGAAAACTGTGGCCTTTAATTTAGCCCTCACCCCTAAGCCTGCCCTGCATTTCTCACTTTCTCAGGCTCCATCCCAACACCTTTTCTAGTCTAACTACCCCTCACTCCAACTCCTTCCCTGTCTGAATCTCATACTTCACAGCCTATTTTCTGTATTTGTGGTGTCCCCAGTCTTATAAACCCTCATCGCTCTTTAGACCCCTTGCTCCAAATGGGATGTTCATCTTGTTTCTTACCCCTGTCCTATGTTCTGCTGCCTGGTACATCTGCTTTTCCCTCTTTTCCCCAGTATTGGAACTCTAATCTGAGTTTTCTAGACCTCATTTTTTTTTTTTTGCCAAGCCTGTATCTCTCCCCACATGCCCACCCAAATCTGGGAGAATGGCTCCCCTTTCTTAACTGCAACAGCTCCAGTGGTTCCTCTCTCATCACTTAGGTCAGCCCCTTACTCATATGCCTCAGCCCCATTCTGAGCTTCTTTAGAAAATATATCCTGCGTGGCTTTCTTGGGTATTATTGATTCAAACAGTGCCTAATACCCCCAAACTCACAAGCATTGTAATTTCTCACCCTGACTCTGAGCAAATCCCATCCCTCTTTGCTCCCCCTGTAAGCACTCCTCAACACACCATGGCACCTCAGAAGCCACAAGGAGCAGGAAAAACAGAATCAGAAGAGCTATTTCACTCCCATTTTTCAAGTTCTGATTGTGGACCTTCTAAAGATAGGCATTTGATTTTGTTAAACCAATAGAGAAATCAAAAAATGAGGACACTGATATTTGACCAGAGGTTCTGCTCACAGATGGCACAAAAAAGGGTCCTCTAGTGAGGCCTTGGGGGAGGGGGCTGATGTAACAGGGACCTGCTCGTTTACTAGAGTTTCTTAGTTTCATGACAGAATATTTTCAAACCTCTGTAATCTTTTCCTTGAAGGTGAGTGAACATGTATGTGCAATGAGAATGCTGCTGATGGTTAGGCCACTGCAGAGGTGCAGAGGTTCACACCTGCCCTTTCTGTCAGATTCTAAGACAAAGGCCACTTTGAAGCAACTTGGTCGCTGGAGAAATCTGGGCAGTCAGACCCTCTTTTACTGTGGATGCCAATCCACAATGGAGGCAGGGCAACTGGAAACATTTGCTCAGAAAGTTTCCGTCAGATTTTAAATTTTTTAAAAGTTTGACAATATGGTAAGGATGGACAGTGTGAGCAAGACGACAGGATCACCTAATTATATGTAGATGATGTCAGAGTGAAGTGTGCATCACACAGATTTAAAAAGACGAGAAAATCTTTATTAAAGGCTGCGCAATAGTGTAGTGAGTCGGAATTCAGTGCCCCTGAAAGAAAAGGCTGTGGAGGTTTTAAGAACAGGAGAAGGAATCATAGGCTTTTCTGTTTGCAAATTGGCAGTACAGAAGAAGAAACTACAATTTTGCATAAATTCTTCACAGGGTGTCTTTTTACATCATGGTTGTAAATGTTCTCACCCAAGTTAGGTGTCTACCTGCCTTGGGGACTGAGACACAGAAATACCAGGAGCACTGAATTTTATTAGGTGGGCCCATGCCCCTTTGACAGATACTCCCAGAATCATAACACTGACTAAAGATTTTAAGGAGGCTTCTGTGTATTTCTTAAGGGCAAAAAAGAATCTACAGTTACAAATTGCAATTACATTTCTGAAGAAAATGCTCTGATAAAATGGAGGTCAGAGGCCTGCAATCTGGAATAATCTGTGTAAAGGTGAGTGACTCTGAGGAACAGGAAGGTCCTGGGTCATAACAAAACTGCTTTCTGCCCATTGGAGGAAAACACAGACAAATCTCTTCCAGGCAGAACCCAGTCTGAACTTCCATCAATTATTGCAATTCATAAAAACGTACAAGTTCCCAGCACTTTATAAACAGGTGCAATATAGGTGAGGGTTCTTGAGCAGAGTCAGGATCTTATCTCCCCCAAGGCTGTGCTTCTGGAGCTTCCCATAGAGACATATTTTTCTACATAGACACCGTCCCTTTGATTAAACATCATCCCTAAGAAAGAAGTGTATTCTTGATTCTATGACATGGCTGGGGTCAGCTGATTTGGCCTGATTACTCATCTGAGTGCAGAGGATCTGATATTTACCACCTTGTTTGCTCTGAGGCAGGAATTTTAATTAAAACATAAGATGGGAGTTTTAATTGCCTCTTGAATTTAGGAAACTTCATGTTCACACTTCACCTGCAGTCTCTCTAGCTTTGGGTGACGTCCTTTTCTTCAAGAAATACCGAAAGATCCATCAGTTCTAACTTAGGTCTATAAAGTATGAGTTCATTTCTAATTATGTGGACATCAGTTTGAAGTAGAATATTTGAGTTAAAGCCTTGGTTCTATTAAAAAGTTTCTAATTATATCTAATCAGTAAAAAGAACAAAGATGTACTAAATTTATGCAAATAATGTTATTGCCCTATAAATAAGAATACTCAAGAGGCTTTAGCAATTTTTAAAAAAACAAAGAAAAGATCAGTGTTGCTACACACACGGTGTTCTCTTGTCCACCCCCACCCCACTGTCTACAACAGTGTCCCAGGACCTCCACATGTTTACCTGAAGGAGGGACAGAGCTCAGAGCTCAGATCCTGTGAGCTCATCACTCGCTTCCATTAGTTATCACAGGACCACTGCTGATCCTCCAAAGAACACAACATCACCTCCAATGTGGAGATGGTACAAATGGGAGCAATCTGAGGTGGGGTGTGGTCTAAAATATGACCTTAGGTCAGCAATAATGACAATGTCATCTCACACTACTATGTATTTATTGACTCAGTGCAAATCCATTAAGATATATTCACCTTCAGAACAAATCTATTGTAACAAGGCAAAACACTTTATTTAGAATTTAATAACAAAGAAGAGTTGCCAGGGCCACTCATCTTGCATATGCAGCTCAAGGAGCCAACTTTCAGCGGAACTGATGGGATTGGAGACTTTACACTGGTAATATCCAGAATCTTCCCTCTCTACGGGGTCTATGGTGAGGTTTCTGTGGTCCTCAGATAGCTTCCTTTTCTCTGAGAGCCCCAGATTCGTGCCATTGAAGAACCACTCAATGGAATCTGCATTTGTGTGGCAGATGAGGACCACGGCATTATTATTCTCTGGGACTGTGCAGTCGCTGGTTAGGAGGATGGGCGCTTTCACAGGCTCTGTGGAGAAACAGAGAAAATGACTGATTTAGAATGGGCTGAGTCATGGAGCCACACAGCTTCCTCAGAGATCTCAGCCACTCACAGTCCACAGAGAGCTATGCAAAGTCACCCTTGTGGGCCATTTCTGTTAGTAGCCATGAGATAGAAATTTGGAGAAACCTTAAATCTTCCTCATGTGAAAATTGTTATTATTAATCCCCCAAGGCTTAAGACCAATTAAAAGGAAGACTATTTCATTGGAGAGCAGAAAAGGGTCCTAGACATGGGTCTTAGTCCCTATAAAGACAGAAGTGTGTGCCCTTAGGACAAAAATCCTAGGAGTCTGAATCCAGTTTCCAAGCTCTGAAGAGATTTTGGATCATTCACTCATTCATTCAATCACCATTTATTCCTTTCCAATTAATCAAAGACAATTGAGTATTTGTTATACATTGGTCCTTAAGCTGGTTTCAGGGGTAGAGTGTGCATTGAGAAGGGAAAGTTTTTTTCCTTCATACTCCAGTGGGAGTGACAATAACACATCAGGAAACAAACGATCTGAAACAACAGTTGGTTTAAAAATTCACAGGCACCTCATAGGCCCCTGGATTGGAAGAGAAGACAAGGCTGTGGCTCCAAACAGATCTCGAATGGCCCTGATCAGATTCTCATGGTCTGTGTGACTCTGCTTTAGTGACTGTATGTCTCTGTTTCTCAATTTATTCTCCATGAAGGAGGACATTTGGTTGCCAGGATCTCAGTGTATTAATCACGAAATATTTACAGACTCTGGCCTAAATTTTGGGATAGAGAAGCTGCTGAAATGAGAGGCATCTTGTACTGATCGACTGTTGCAGAGAATCCTCTGTGCTGATCCCTGGCAAATGAGGACCTTCCAGGAACATTCTCTTTTCTCAGTTTCTTTCTGGGGATGCTGACCTTTTCCTATACCTGAACTTGTTCTAAGTCTCCCAGGACAGTTGGCTAACATCTAACAACATTGTCTAACTGTGCTCTTACACAGAGTCTCAGGCGATAGACTGAACTCTATTTCTTCGAATGTGTAGCTCTTGGGCCTGAGCCTTGGCTGGGGACCAGCTCAGGAGCCTGTGGCTTGGGCACCCATTAAACCACTACCCAGTTAGCCTTTCCTGGGAGGTCAAACTCAACCTAACGCAGGCTCCCCAAGTTTTCTGGAGTCAAGATCGCCCAGACAGGGTTCTTGGGAGGGGCTCCCAAGGTGAACTCTGTGAGAATTTCAGGACACTACAGAAACCAGGCTTTGACAGAAGCTGTCAGGGTCAATCTAAGTGTCAAGGACATAGGGGGCTGCACTAAAGCTGGTCTCCATTTGTTGAGTTACTCTTATCAGACTGGTCCTTCTGTCTTCAGTGACAGCAGGGCCAGAAACTGGGAAATGAACTGAGATCTTAGGACGTTTGTCCCCACTCTCTGCATCCTGAGCTGATTTCCAAGGCCCAACCTGGGACAGAATGCAGAGGGAAACAAAGGCTGAGATAAGGGCTGTCAGTCCTATGTGTGAAGTAGAAGTCACCCCACAAAATACTCAGATGTCAGAGAGTAATCACTCACCGAATACATCAAGCCATCCGAATCCTACTCGTTGCACTGAATTTGGAAGGTGGGCCACTACGGTGTATATTCCTTTGTCTTCCCTGGTGGCCTTCCTTATCAGCAAGGATCCATCGAGGTCTACTATCTTTCGTCCATCGTATAAACGCCCTTTTACAAATTTTCTCTCCAATATGAAGTAACCTGCGATTAGATCATGAGGTATTCCACTTTCTCCTCTGAACCACCTGTAGCCAGTAACATTGGGAGGCGTATTGCGGAGACTCAGACGTACATCTTTCCCTTCAGCAACATTGGTTGACACAACAGAGAATTGGGCATTTGTCAGCAGGCACCGGAAGGTTAACAGTGAGACTAGGAAAGAAGAGAGAAATTAATGAATATTCAGATCTATGTGTTGGGATGGAGAGACGAGATCTTGGAGCCTGAGCTTGTTTCTTCAACTCTGAGCCTTGCTCTGGGTGTGAGTGTGTCTTCCATGGTTAAGGGCTACAGCAAAGAGAATGGTTAGACCCCTGGTTCGGTTGTATCCTGGTGTACCTGACATAAATTGTTATTATAATGTTTTCATAATTCAATACTCAGTGATGAATAACTTTGGAAGTGAACAGCAATTGAGGTCTTCCTGCCTCTCACCACTTCCAGATAACGACATTTTTCTTTTGCTGAGTGACCTTCCCTACCTATTCTTTTCTCATGCCCTTCACTCTGAAGTCCAGACAGAAGCCTTCCCTCTTTTCTCAGAGCACTAGTCTCTCTAGAAGATCTCAGGCAGCCTCTCTGTCAGATGCTCAGTCTACCCCAAGGAATTGTCTCCTACTTACCAACAAGCAGGAACCCTAGCCAGTGGACACAGCTTCTGCAGGTAGAGAATAACAGCGATCCCATGGTGTCTGCTGTCTGCTCTGTGGCTGGCACTTCAAAAAGATCTTGAGGTTCCGAAAGGCTCTCAGGCACCTCTGTTCAGAATGCTGCAATCTGCTCTGTGCCCTACCTGTGTGCTGAGCTTTATTCTGGGGAAAGATTACTATTCATGTGCTGGAGGCAGGGTCTGTGCCCAGGAACCCTCCCACTCCTTGATCTCATTTACTCCACCCTGTCTCTTCTTACCAGTGTACTGTCCTTCAATATTTTGGTTCCTGGGAACTGCTGAAGCTTCTGAACTCTACACTCACATGCACACACAAACATATATATACACACTAGCCCAAACTCACATGATGTGTTGAAGAAGCACAAGCCTGGGGTGCCTGGGCTTTGGGGTTTTCCCACAGCTTCCTCTCAGGAGCTCAGTACTCTATCCCACAGCCTCTCTTTCTTTCACGTTTGACTGCCCCCTTCAGGACAGATATTCGTGAGCTAGCTCAGAGATACCTTTCACAGGGATGTCACACCTGCTGTGCATTCAACCACCTGTGAGACATAGTAAACATGGCTATGCCAGATGACACTTTAAAAATGCAGCTTCACCAGCTGTCCAGATAATGAGGTGCCCATTCAAAATGAGATCCCTTGATGTGAAGGTAGAACCAACTCTCCTGCTCTCCTGTGCACAGAGGATGTTCCCCGATACTGCTATACTACAGATTCTGACTTGGCAGGGAGCATTGGGCCTGTATCTAACAGGATCCCAGGAGAGATTGATCCTACTGGCCTGTGGAGCACACTTGCAATAGCAAGGCTGATGGGGACACATGTATCCCTGAAAGGATGGCTCAGTCTCTCCTTCATTGGTCTCTTCATTGACTTGGTCCTGGGTCTGTCAGAACCACACAGAGAGCCCCAGGTGTCCTAGAAAGTTGGGGTGATTTCTGTCTCTGACACAGAAACCCAGCTGGGAATTCAGGCTGCTTCTTGTTCTCAAATGCTCTGTGGTTTTATTTCCTCCTAGCAGGAAGGTCCCAGAGATAACTCTGAAGTTACAAGGGGTAAAGCTGGGTGACAATTCTATAGAGAGCCTTTTTCTTTCTCAGGTGTCACCATCCTGGCTTCTGATTCCAGGGACAGAGACCCAGGATCATGAGTTTGGTAGAACCTTTAGGTGTGAAGGAGGAGCTATCCTGAGTGTCCCAGGAAGAAAAGACTGTAGTGAAAAGTCAGGTGCCTGTGTCATAGATAGATGGGTTCAGGTAGACCTTTCCCCTCCATGTCTGTTTGTGGGGACTGTCCCTGTGCTCCTTGAGTATTGGGACAACCTCTGGTTTCTGGCTGGGATGCTTTCTTGTGGCAACCAGAATTGCCCACCGGTGACATCAGCATAGAATCCCCTGTGAGTCAGTGCTCCTAGGTTATGTAAAACAGAAATATTTAAACCTGTGGAACAATTTAATGAATTTATCTGAGACATATGCCTGGGACAAAGGGCTCAAATCTTTTAAAAATAGCAGTTTTGCAGTTTATGTTATGCATTATAATTATAGGGGAAGATGGAAATAGTTGCAAAAATCTATTAGGAACTGAGGAATAGCATAGTGGAGAAATCTCTAGATTTACATAAAAGTCAAAATGGAGAATCTATACTTTTTAAAGATTCATGAGTACAGAATAATTAACATTTTCTGGACATAAAGAGGGTATGCAGGGGACCAGGTAGTATGAAGTGTTTTTGGATCTCGTATGCTTGTCCTAGAGTCTGTGCCTTGAAATGTTCTAAAAAAGAATCACTCTGATATGCCAAAGTCATACTATTTAAAATGCATAAAAACAGGGGTCAGGGCTCACCTAAACTAAGGATTGACCTTTGCTAAGCAAGGTTTAGGTTTGGGATGTGACAACTGCCATCACCTGCCCAGCTAGAAATTTCTGATCAGACTGTCCTGTGAAGCTTGCCAGGCCTGCCATGTGGCCCCTGAGCTTGTCAGGACTGCAGCCCAGCCCTTTCTGTTAACAGTCTCCAGAAGTAGCAGGTGGGGCAGAATAGGAAGGAGGAAAGGCCTGAGCCAGGTTGTTGAATTAGGGAATGAAAATAAAACTCTTCCATCTTCTTAATTGAAGCCAGGTGTGTTAATTTCTATGTGGTTTTTGTGTAGCTCAGTGTTTCGCCTCGAAGGTCAGGAGCAGACCTGCAACCAATGTCATGTGCTGCACAAGGATGGTACCAGTGCAGGGTGAGCCCCGTGAAAGGACAGAGTACTATGACTCCAGTGCCAGTAGATCTGTCCACCAGGGAGTTGTGCTCTTTCAGACCACGCTCTCTTCTTTCAAGGGGTCTATGAAAGGGCTTAGTTAAGGTTATCCTGAGGTTTTTGTGAGAGGGTTCTGGCTTGATGGGTATATCCCCAAATGTACCATACATCCTCTGTCACAACAATGGGCATTGAATATAAGCCATCTATGCCATGTGTATCATCTGCTCTAGGGGTCCTCCTGGAGTCCAGGAGCTGGAGCAGCTCCAGGTGATGACTGAGCCAGGGGCTCTGTGGGTTATTCTGTTAGGGGAAGTGGGGTTCTTGTAGAAATATCAGGCCCTTGAAGATGAAAGCAAGTGCCCACAGATTTTGGGTTCCCCTGTACTATCTAGAATTTATTCTCACAATTTAAAGGTATGTCATGGTAGATGCAAAAAGAGAGTGAACAGGCTCTGTTAGGTTAAAGATGGATCATTGTCAAAAAAAAAAAAAGATACCAGCCCAGGACACAAGTACCCGCACTGACTTGTTTTAGTTACAAAATTTTAATTTCAGACCATCCTATGTGATTACTTCAGGTCCCTCAGTTTGTAAGTTCACCACGCAGGTCTCCCCTGAGCTCGTCAGGTTTAGACCACACCTCCCCATTACAGTCATAAAGCAGTCTAAAGGATGCACTTGTGACCAATCTTTTGGTTAGACAATATTGTCTCAAGTTCTAGGAAGAGAATCTCAGAAAGTCTTAGTGGCAGCATTTGTCTTTCTGAACCATAAATCATTGGTGCAGCAAGACCTCATTGTTGGATGGAAATCAAAGCCGAATGAACTCAAAGGAAAAAGCAGGTAAATGGAAGGCAGTCATCCCCACAGGCCTTATTAGAAAAATACTCTGGGTCATTTCTAACCTGTAAGCTATCATGGACTGAGTTTTGTTGTTTGTCTCATTTCTCTGTATTTTGTATCTGGTATTACATTTCCTTATAGTTTGAGGGCACACTACCCACTTCTTCAGTTTAAACTTCATCTTCAGTTTAAACATTATCACCATGAGAGGGGTTATCATTCACTATGGCCCACCTGTAATTAATTATTAATAGGGTTTTTGCTAGTTACAAACTCGCAAGTTCTAACTTTAAGGTTTATTTGGGGACCAGGCTGTGAGAACACTGTGTTGTAAAGTAAAATTTTCATCTGAAAGTTCCATGGCCGGGAGGACAATAAGAGTTTCATAAGTACCTTTCCTCTGTTTCATCAGCAGCCGTGGAGGGCCATGGTTTATATCCACTTCAGTTTCCATTTGAATTAATATAGTTAGTAAGCCTTTTGAGTTAGAGAGTAAGAATATTAATTAGGTTCAAGCATTTATACATGAAAATCCTTTCCCAATATTCTTATTCCAGCAACTTTCTATAACTTCCTTGATTTTCTTAGCTTGTCTATTTTTACTTATTCAGAAACAACCAGCATATTAAGAAAGCTACATAATTTTAACCTCGCTTAAGTATACACACACCTGTTTTTGTTTTGTGTTCTTTCTTTTCCTTCCTTTATTCCTTCCTTCCTTCTTTCCTTCCTTCCTTCCTTCCTTCCTTCCTTCCTTCCTTCCTTCCTTCCTTCCTTCCTTTTGCTTTTTGCAATAACATTTTGTCTAAATTTCAAAATGTTGCCAGAAAGGTGGCCAAACCCAAGTCAGGTGTGCTAAAGGCCACTGGTAGTGTGTGGGTTCTTCAACTTGTGCAGGAAAAGCTTCACAAAACAAGCCCAAGTGATTTGGGAGAATCTTTATTAAAACTGGGGACACTGAAACCAGGATGGGACCAGAAGAGAGACTGGGTGGGCCTGCTGTAGCTGTCTTAGAACACTATAGGAAAAACATGAGGCTAGGAGGGGCTGCTGTCAGCCTATGGCAGAATAAAAAATATAGGAGCTTTGGGGATAATTCAAGGTGTTTGCCCAGGAAAAGTTGCCACTTCCCGTTGCTCCTCTAGTGGCAAGTCTTGTGAGGACCCTTTAGAGTGTAAGAGAAAAAAACTTACTTTAAAAGGAAATTTGAGTAGATGTGCCTCAAGAAGAATGTATACAACTTCCTTTGTTTGATGGAGTTCTTTCTGCTTTCCAAAGGTAAAGATTTAAAGAGAGGTCTCAGGGAAGAGCTCAGTGAAGTAACTGCTTTTTCAGGTTTGCCTTTATGATCTGTGATCTCTACTAATGGATGTTGCCAGGGCAGAAGTCTAAGTTACGTGATCAGGAATTTGTCAGGGAGGAAAGGCCAAGTATCACATTATCACACTGTGCCCAGTGCATGTCAAAATAAGGAATGTTTAACACATAAAGAATTCTATGAGGTAATCAGAATGAGAAGAAACATTTCAACAAAGTGACAAAAATACTCCAGAGAACTACAGTTCTGCACCTTATCTTACAGATTACAATCAGAGGAAAAGGCACAAGAGTTTCCATAAAATCCATTGCTGATAGATTAGGGAGTCAGAAGAAGGCTAAATGTGAAATCACTGGCATTGGATAAAAAGTAAAACAAGTAGACAAATATTACTTTTACACTGGTGACTACAGAATAGGTAGCAGTTAACAATTAATACAAAAACAACAATGAGAAGTTTTTTGGTTTCTGCTCTTGTGCAGTGAGGGTGATAAGGGACATAAGAGTTGGAAAGTTTAGTTTGAGGTAGTTATAAGCCTAGTAAGTAATGAATAGGTTAAAGCCTTTGTTTCAGAAACTACAGATAAGGCCCATCCTGGCTCCTGGGAAAACAGTCAATCTCCTGGGGCACTGCTGAGGATCACCGCCTGGAGTCAAGTGGAGGCACCTGGGCCTTTGTGTTCCAGGGAGAGAGGTGCCCACCCTCCCCTGGGAATAGCTGACTACCCAGGGTGAAAGTACTGTAATTTTTTAAAATTTAATTTCCCCTGAATGACAAAAAGCCCTACTGCGCTTTGTTCTACATTAAACAAAAAGGCCTGCTTGAAAAGAAAATGGATGATGGTCTCTTAGAGTATGAACCCACCATCTTCTCATATTGCTGGCCATCTGAGTAAAACTCCCATAAAGATTCAGTCCCTGTCATTGCTTATTGAGTTTGGTACTGACAGGCAGCCTGAATGCTGGTGCCTTTTCTGGTTTCAAGGGATCCAGAACAATGAATATTTCCCAGACATTTTGAAGGTGCAATATCATAGATTCAAAAAGACGCTGGCCAGTTTCAGTTAAAATAAAGGTTGATGTTTTTTCAGAAAAGAACCAGTTGTAAAACAGAACTACACACTGTGATTAGTTTTTAGTTATCATGTTTAATTTCAGAGCAGTCTCTGAGTTTGTAAGATTCACCATGCAGGCCTCCCCCTGAACTTATCAGTTTTAGTGTATGGCTATTTTTAAAGTATATTTTATTGATTATGCTATTATAGTTTTCCCAATTTCCCCCCCTTCATCCTCCTCCACCCTGCACCCCCAACCCTCCAGCATTCTCCCACCCTTAGTTCATGTCCGTGGGTTGTACATACAAATTATTTGAATTCTCTGTTTTCTATAATATTCTTAACCTTTCCCAATCTATAGTAAGCCTACCACTGGTCCAGCACTGTGACCTGTCACATAGTTTCCACCATGGAGTCAGAAAGTCCACTATTGCTAGTCAGCAAAGAAGAGAAAGCTTCCATTTACTCCAAGTTTTCCAGCTCTCAAATCCCCATTCACTCCTCACACCATCAGACACTATTTTTTCCTCTCCCCAGGCTGCCTCCTCACTGACATGCAGATCCCCTGGGGCATGGCTAACTTGTTGGGTCAGCTGAGGCACAACTTAGTGTTTGGGGATAAGATTTAGTTTTCAAAGGTCTCCTAGGTCATATGGAAACTGGGGCCTTCAGACCACACTCTGAAAGTCTGCTGCACATGTTGCTACTGCATTAGAGCTAATGAATGGAAAGCTGTGGCCTTTAATTTAGCCCTCACCCCTAAGCCTGCCCTGCATTTCTCACTTTGTCAGGCTCCATCCCAACCCCTTTGCTAGTCTGACTACCCCTCACTCCAACTCCTTCCCTGTCTGAATCTCATACTTCACAGCCTATTTTCTGTATTTGTGATGTCCCCAGTCTTATAAACCCTCATCGCACTTTAGACCCCTTGCTCCAAATGGGATGTTCATCTTGTTTCTTACCCCTGTCCTATGTTCTGCGGCCTGGTACATCTGCTTTTCTCTCTTTTCCCCAGTCTTGGAACTCTAATCTGAGTTTTCTAGACCTCATTTTTTTTTGCCAAGCCTGTATCTCTCCCCACATGCCCACCCAAATCTGGGAGAATGGTTCCCCTTTCTTAACTGCACCAGCTCCAGTGGTTCCTCCCTCATCACTTAGGTCAGCCCCTTACTCATATGCCTCAGCCCCATCCTGAGCTTCTTTAGAAAATATATCCTGCATGGCTTTCTTTGGTATTATTGATTCAAACAGTGCCTAATACCCCCAAACTCACAAGCATTGTAATTTCTCACCCTGACTCTGAGCAAATCCCATCCCTCTTTGCTCCCCCTGTAAGCACTCCTCAACACACCATGGCACCTCAGAAGCCACAAGGAGCAGGAAAAACAGAATCAGAAGAGCTATTTCACTCCCATTTTTCAACTTCCTATTGTGGACCTTCTAAAGATAGGCATTTGATTTTGTAAAACCAATAGAGAAATCAAAAAATGAGGACACTGATATTTGACCAGAGGTTCTGCTCACAGATGGCACAAAAAGGGTCCTCTAGTGAGGCCTTGGGAGAGGGGGCTGATGTAACAGGGACCTGCTCGTTTACTAGAGTTTCTTAGTTTCATGACAGAATATTTTCAAACCTCTGTAATCTTTTCCTTGAAGGTAAGTGAACATGTATGTGCAATGAGAATGCTGTTGATGCGTAGGCCACTGCAGAGGTGCAGAGGTTCACACCTGCCCTTTCTGTCAGATTCTAAGACAAAGGCCACTTTGAAGCAAATTGGTCCCTGGAGAAATCTGGGCAGTCAGACCCTCTTTTACTGTGGATGCCGATCCACAATGGAGGGAGGACAACTGGAAACATTTGCTCAGAAATTTTCAGTCAGATTTTAAATTTTTTAAAAGTTTGAAAATATGGTAAGGATGGACAGTGTGAGCAAGACGACAGGATCTGCTAATTATATGTAGGTGATGTCAGAGTGAAGTGTGCATCACACAGATTTAAAAAGACGAGAAAAACTTTATTAAAGGCTGCGCAATAGTGTAGTGAGTCGGAATTCAGTGCCCCTGAAAGAAAAGGCTGTGGAGGTTTTAAGAACAGGAGAAGGAATCATAGGCTTTTCTGTTTGCAAATTGGCAGTACAGAAGAAGAAACTACAATTTTGCATAAATTCTTCACAGGGTGTCTCTTTACATCATGGTTGTAAATGTTCTCACCCAAGTTAGGTGTCTACCTGCCTTGGGGACTGAGACACAGAAACACCAGGAGCACTGAATTTTATTAGGTGGGCCCAGGCCCTTTTGACAGATACTCCCAGAATCATAACACTGACTAAAGATTTTAAGGAGGCTTCTGTGTATTTCTTAAGGGCAAAAAAGAATCTACAGTTACAAATTGCAATTACATTTCTGAAGAAAATGCTCTGATAAAATGGAGGTCAGAGGCCTGCAATCTGGAATAATCTGTGTAAAGGTGAGTGACTCTGAGGAACAGGAAGGCCCTGGGTCATAACAAAACTGCTTTCTGCCCCATTGGAGGAAAACACAGACAAATCTCTTCCAGCCAGGACCCAGTCTGAACTTCCATCAATTATTGCAATTCATAAAAACGTACAAGTTCCCAGCACTTTATAAACAGGTGCAAAATAGCTGAGGGTTCTTGAGCAGAGTCAGGATCTGATCTCCCCCAAGGCTGTGCTTCTGGAGCTTCCCATAGAGACATTATATTTTTCTACATAGACACCGTCCCTTTGATTAAACATCCCTAAGAAGGAAGTGTATTCTTGATTCTATGACATGGCTGGGGTCAGCTGATTTGGCCTGATTACTCATCTAAGTGCAGAGGATCTGATATTTACCACCTTGTTTGCTCTGAGGCAGGAATTTTAAATAAAACATAAGATGGGAGTTTTAATTGCCTCTTGAATTTAGGAAACTTCATGTTCACACTTCACCTGCAGTCTCTCTAGCTTTGGGTGACGTCCTTTTCTTCAAGAAATACCAAAAAGATCCATCAGTTCTAACTTAGCTCTATAAAGTATGTGTTCATTTCTAATTATGTGGACATCAGTTTGAAGTAGAATATTTGAGTTAAAGCCTTGGTTCTATTAAAAAGTTTCTAATTATATCTAATCAGTAAAAAGAACAAAGAGGTACTAAATTTATGCAAATAATGTTATTGCCCTATAAATAAGAATACTCAAGAGGCTTTAGCAATTTTTAAAAAAACAAAGAAAAGATCAGTGTTGCTACACACACGGTGTCCTCTTGTCCACCCCCACCCCACTGTCTACAAGAGTGTCCCAGGACCTCCACATGTTTACCTGAAGGAGGGACAGAGCTCAGATCCTGTGAGCTCATCACTCGCTTCCATTAGTTATCACAGGACCACTGCTGATCCTCCAAAGAACACAACATCACCTCCAATGTGGAGATGGTACAAATGGAAGCAATCTGAGGTGGGGTGTGGTCTAAAATATGACCTTAGGTCAGCAATAATGACAATGTCATCTCACACTACTATGTATTTATTGACTCAGTGCAAATCCATTAAGATATATTCACCTTCAGAACAAATCTATTGTAACAAGGCAAAACACTTTATTTAGAATTTAATAACAAAGAAGAGTTGCCAGGGCCACTCATCTTGCATATGCAGCTCAAGGAGCCAACTTTCAGCAGAACTGATGGGATTGGAGACTTTACACTGGTAATATCCAGAATCTTCCCTCTCTACGGGGTCTATGGTGAGGTTTCTGTGGTCCTCAGATAGCTTCCTTTTCTCTGAGAGCCCCAGATTCGTGCCATTGAAGAACCACTCAATGGAATCTGCATTTGTGTGGCAGATGAGGACCACGGCATTATTATTCTCTGGGACTGTGCAGTCGCTGGTTAGGAGGATGGGCGCTTTCACAGGCTCTGTGGAGAAACAGAGAAAATGACTGATTTAGAATGGGCTGAGTCATGGAGCCACACAGTTTCCTCAGAGATCTCAGCCACTCACAGTCCACAGAGAGCTATGCAAAGTCACCCTTGTGGGCCATTTCTGTTAGTAGCTATGAGATAGAAATTTGGAGAAACCTTAAATCTTCCTCATGTGAAAATTATTATTATTAATCCCCCAAGGCTTAAGACCAATTAAAAGGAAGACTATTTCATTGGAGAGCAGAGAAGGGTCCTAGACATGGGTCTTAGTCCCTATAAAGACAGAAGTGTGTGCCCTTAGGACAGAAATCCTAGGAGTCTGAATCCAGTTTCCAAGCTCTGAAGAGATTTTGGATCATTCACTCATTCATTTAATCACCATTTATTCCTTTCTAATTAATCAAAGACAATTGAGTATTTGTTATACGTTGATCCTTAAGCTGGTTTCAGGGGTAGAGTGTGCATTGAGAAGGGAAAGTTTTTTCCTTCATACTCCAGTGGGAGTGACAATAACACATCAGGAAACAAACGATCTGAAACAACAGTTGGTTTAAAAATTCACAGGCACCTCATAGGCCCCTGGATTGGAAGAGAAGACAAGGCTGTGGCTCCAAACAGATCTCGAATGGCCCTGATCAGATTCTCATGGTCTGTGTGACTCTGCTTTAGTGACTGTATGTCTCTGTTTCTCAATTTATTTTCCATGAAGGAGGACATTTGGCTGCTAGGATCTCAGTGTATTAATCATGAAATATTTACAGACTCTGGCCTAAATTTTGGGATAGAGAAGCTGCTGAGATGAGAGGCATCTTGTACTGATCGACTGTAACAGAGAATCTTCTGTGCTGATCCCTGGCAAATGAGGACCTTCCAGGAACATTCTCTTTTCTCAGTTTCTTTCTGGGGATGCTGACCTTTTCCTATACCTGAACTTGTCCTAAGTCTCCCAGGACAGTTGGCTAACATCTAATAACTTTGTCTAACTGTGCTCTTACACAGAGTCTCAGGTGATAGACTGAACTCTATTTCTGCAAATGTGTAGCTCTTGGGCCTGAGCCTTGGCTGGGGACCAGCTCAGGAGCCTGTGGCTTGGGCACCCATTAAACCACTACCCAGTTAGCCTTTCCTGGGAGGTCAAACTCAACCTAACACAGGCTCCCCAAGTTTTCTGGAGTCAAGATCGCCCAGACAGGGTTCTTGGGAGGGGCTCCCAAGGTGAACTCTGTGAGAATTTCAGGACACTACAGAAACCAGGCTTTGACAGAAGCTGTCAGGGTCAATCTAAGTGTCAAGGACATAGGGGGCTGCACTAAAGCTGGTCTCCATTTGTTGAGTTACTCTTATCAGACTGGTCCTTCTGTCTGCAGTGACAGCAGGGCCAGAAACTGGGAAATGAACTGAGATCTTAGGATGTTTGTCCCCACTCTCTGCATCCTGAGCTGATTTCCAAAGCCCAACCTGGGACAGAATGCAGAGGGAAACAAAGGCTGAGATAAGGGCTGTAAGTCCTATGTGTGAAGTAGAAGTCACCCCACAAAATACTCAGATGTCAGAGAGTAATCACTCACCGAATACATCAAGCCATCCAAATCCTACTCGTTGCACTGAATTTGGAAGGTGGGCCACTACGGTGTATATTCCTTTGTCTTCCCTGGTGGCCTTCCTTATCAGCAAGGATCCATCGAGGTCTACTATCTTTCGTCTATCGTATAAACGCCCTTTTACAAATTTTCTCTCCAATATGAAGTAACCTGCGATTAGATCATGAGGTATTCCACTTTCTCCTCTGAACCACCTGTAGCCAGTAACATTGGGAGGCGTATTGCGGAGACTCAGATGTACATCTTTCCCTTCAGCAACATTGGTTGACACAACAGAGAATTGGGCATTTGTCGGCAGCACCGGAAGGTTAACAGCGAGACTAGGAAAGAAGAGAGAAATTAATGAATATTCAGATCTGTGTGTTGGGAGGGAAAGACGAGGTCCTGGAACCTCAGCTTGTTTCTTCAACTCTGAGCCTTGCTCTGGGTGTGAGTGTGTCTTCCATGGTTAAGGGCTACAGTAAAGAGAATGGTTAGACCCCTGGTTCAGTTGTATCCTGGTGTACCTGACATAAATTGTTATTATAATGTTTTCATAATTCAATACTCAGTGATGAATAACTTTGGAAGTGAACAGCAATTGAGGTCTTCCTGCCTCTCACCACTTCCAGATAACGACATTTTTCTTTTGCTGAGTGACCTTCCCTACCTATTCTTTTCACGTGCCCTTCACTCTGAAGTCCAGACGGAAGCCTTTCCACTTTTCTCAGAGCACTAGTCTCTCTAGAAGATCTCAGGCAGCCTCTCTGTCAGATCCTCAGTCTACCCCAAGGAATTGTCTCCTACTTACCAACTAGCAGGAACCCTAGCCAGTGGACACAGCTTCTGCAGGTAGAGAATAACAGCGATCCCATGGTGTCTGCTGTCTGCTCTGTGGCTGGCGCTTCAAGAAGATCTTGAGGTTCCGAAAGGCTCTCAGGCACCTCTGTTCAGAATGCTGCAATCTGCTCTGTGCCCTACCTGTGTGCTGAGCTTTATTCTGGGGAAAGATTACTATTCATGTGCTGGAGGCAGGGTCTGTGCCCAGGAACCCTCCCACTCCTTGATCTCATTAACTCCACCCTGTCTCTTCTTACCAGTGTACTGTCCTTCAATATTTTGGTTCCTGGGAACTGCTGAAGCTTCTGAACTCTACACTCACATGCACACACAGACATATATATACACACTAGCCCACACTCACATGATGTGTTGAAGAAGCACAAGCCTGGGGTGCCTGGGCTTTGGGGTTTTCCCACAGCTTCCTCTCAGGAGCTCAGTACTCTATCCCACAGCCTCTCTCTCTTTCACGTTTGACTGCCCCCTTCAGGACAGATATTCGTGAGCTAGCTCAGATATACCTGTCACAGGGATGTCACACCTGCTGTGCATTCAATCACCTGTGAGACATAGTAAACATGGCTACGCCAGATGACACTTTAAAATTGCAGCTTCACCAGCTGTCCAGATACTGAGGTGCCCATTCAAAAAGAGATCCCTTGATGTGAAGGTAGAACCAACTCTCCTGCTCTCCTGTGCACAGAGGATGTTCCCAGATCCTGCTATACTACAGATTCTGACTTGGCAGGGAGAATTGGGCCTGTATCTAACAGGATCCCAGGAGAGATTGATCCTACTGGCCTGTGGAGCACACTTGCAATAGCAAGGCTGATGGGGACACATGTATCCCTGAAAGGATGGCTCAGTCTCTCCAGCATTGGTCTCTTCATTGACTTGGTCCCGGGTCTGTCAGAACCACACAGAGAGCCCCAGGTGTCCTAGAAAGTTGGGGTGATTTCTGTCTGTGACACAGAAACCCAGCTGGGAATTCAGGCTGCTTCTTGTTCTCAAATGCTCTGCGGTTTTATTTCCTCCTAGCAGGAAGGTCCCAGAGATAACTCTGAAGTTACAAGGGGTAAAGCTGGGTGACAATTCTATAGAGAGCCTTTTTCTTTCTCAGGTGTCACCAGCCTGGCTTCTGATTCCAGGGACAGAGACCCAGGATCATGAGTTTGGTAGAACCTTCACTTTTTAGGTGTGAAGGAGGAGCTGTCCTGAGTGTCCCAGGAAGAAAAGACTATAGTGAAAAGTCAGGTGCCTGTGTCATAGATAGATGGGTTCAGGTAGACCTTTCCCCTCCATGTCTGTTTGTGGGGACTGTCCCTGTGCTCCCTGAGTATTGGGACAACCTCTGGTTTCTGGCTGGGATGCTTTCTTGTGGCAACCAGAATTGCCCACCGGTGACATCAGCATAGAATCCCCTGTGAGGCAGTGCTCCTAGGTTATGTAAAACAGAAATATTTAAACCTGTGGAACAATTTAATGAATTTATCTGAGACATATGCCTGGGAGAAAGGGCTCAAATCTTTTAAAAAGTAGCAGTTTTGCAGTTTATGTTATGCATTATAATTAAAGGGGAAGATGGAAATAGTTGCAAGAAATCTATTAGGAACTGAGGAATAGCATAGTGGAGAAATCTCAAGATTTACATAAAAGTCAAAATGGAGAATCTATACTTTTTAAAGATTCATGAGTACAGAATAATTAACATTTTCTGGACATAAAGAGGGTATGCAGGGGACCAGGTAGTATGAAGTGTTTTTGGATCTCGTATGCTTGACCTAGAGTCTGTGCCTTCAAATGTTCTAAAAAAAGAATCACTCTGATATGCCAAAGTCATACTATTTAAAATGCATAAAAACAGGGGCCAGGGCTCACCTAAACTAAGGATTGACCTTTGCTAAGCAAGGTTTAGGTTTGGGATGTGACAACTGCCATCACCTGCCCAGCTAGAAATTTCTGATCAGACTGTCCTGTGAAGCTTGCCAGGCCTGCCATGTGGCCCCTGAGCTTGTCAGGACTGCAGCCCAGCCCTTTCTGTTAACAGTCTCCAGAAGTAGCAGGTGGGGCAGAATAGGAAGGAGGAAAGGCCTGAGCCAGGTTGTTGAATTAGGGGATGAAAATAAAACTCTTCCATCTTCTTAATTGAAGCCAGGTGTGTTAATTTCTATGTGGTTTTTGTGTAGCTCAGTGTTTTGCCCTGCAGGTCAGGAGCAGACCTGCAACCAATGTCAGGTGCTGCACAGGGATGGTACCAGTGCAGGGTGAGCCCCGTGAGAGGACAGAGTACTATGACTCCAGTGCCAGTAGATCTGTCCACCAGGGAGTTGTGCTCTTTCAGACCACGCTCTCTTCTTTCAAGGGTTCTATGAAAGGGCTTAGTTAAGGTTATCCTGAGGTTTTTGTGAGAGGGTTCTGGCTTGATGGGTATATCCCCAAATGTACCATACATCCTCTGTCACAACAATGGGCATTGAATATAAGCCATCTGTGCCATGTGTGTCATCTGCTCTAGGGGTCCTCCTGGAGTCCAGGAGCTGGAGCAGCTCCAGGTGATGACTGAGCCAGGGGCTCTGTGGGTTATTCTGTTAGGGGAAGTGGGGTTTTTGTAGAAACATCAGGCCCTTGAAGATGAAAGCAAGTGCCCACAGATTTTGGGTTCCCCTGTACTATCCAGAATTTATTCTCACAATTTAAAGGTATGTCATGGTAGATGCAAAAAGAGAGTGAACAGGCTCTGTTAGGTTAAAGATGGATCATTGTCAAAAAAAAAAAAAAAAAAAAAGATACCAGCCCAGGACACAAGTGCCCACACTGACTTGTTTTAGTTACAAAATTTTAATTTCAGACCATCCTATGTGATTACTTCAGGTCCCTCAGTTTGTAAGTTCACCACACAGGCCTCCCCTGAGCTTGTGAGGTTTAGACCACACCTCCCCATTACAGTCATAAAGCAGTCTAAAGGATGCACTTGTGACCAATCTTTTGGTTAGACAATATTGTCTCAAGTTCTAGGAAGAGATTCTCAGAAAGTCTTAGTGGCAGCATTTGTCTTTCTGAACCATAAATCATTGGTGCAGCAAGACCTCATTGTTGGATGGAAATCAAAGCCAAATGAACTCAAAGGAAAAAGCAGGTAAATGGAAGGCAGTCACCCCCACAGGCCTTATTAGAAAAATACTCTGGGTCATTTCTAACCTGTAAGCTATCATGGACTGAGTTTTGTTGTTTGTCTCATTTCTCTGTATTTTGTATCTGGTATTACATTTCCTGATAGTTTGAGGGCACACTACCCACTTCTTCAGTTTAAACCTGTTACATTATCACCATGAGAGGGGTTATCATTCACTATGGCCCACCTGTAATTAATTATTAATAGGATTTTTTCTAGTTACAAACTTGCAAGTTCTAACTTTAAGGTTTATTTGGGGACCAGGCTGTGAGAACACTGTGTTGTAAAGTAAAATTTTCATCTGAAAGTTCCATGGCCGGGAGGACAATAAGAGTTTCGTAAGTACCTTTCCTCTGTTTCATCAGCAGCCGTGGAGGGCCATGGTTTATATCCACTTCAGTTTCCATTTGAATTAATATAGTTAGTAAGCCTTTTGAGTTAGAGAGTAAGAATATTAATTAGGTTCAAGCATTTATACATGAAATTCCTTTCCCAATATTCTTATTCCAGCAACTTTCTATAACTTCCTTGATTTTCTTAGCTTGTCTATTTTTACTTATTCAGAAACAACCAGCATATTAAGAAAGCTACATAATTTTAACCTCTCTTAAGTATACACACGCCTGTTTTTGTTTTGTGTTCTTTCTTTTCCTTCCTTTATTCCTTCCTTCCTTCCTTCCTTCCTTTTGCTTTTTGCAATAACATTTTGTCTAAATTTCAAAATGTTGCCAGAAAGGTGGCCAAACCCAAGTCAGGTGTGCTAAAGCCCACTGGTAGTGTGTGGGTTCTTCACCTTATGCAGGAAAAGCTTCACAAAACAAGCCCAAGTGATTTGGGAGAATCTTTATTAAAACCGGGGACACTGAAACCACGATGGGACCAGAAGAGAGACTGGGTGGGCCTGCCGTAGCTGTCTTAGAACACTATGGGAAAAAACATGAGGCTAGGAGGGGCTGCTGTCAGCCTATGGCAGAATAAAAAATATAGGAGCTTTGGGGATAATTCAAGGTGTTTGCCCAGGAAAAGTTGCCACTTCCCGTTGCTCCTCTAGTGGCAAGTCTTGTGAGGACCCTTTAGAGTGTAAGAGAAAAAAACTTACTTGAAAAAGAAATTTGAGTAGATGTGCCTCAAGAAGAATGTATACAACTTCCTTAGTTTGATGGAGTTCTTTCTGCTTTCCAAAGGTAAAGATTTAAAGAGAGGTCTCAGGGAAGAGCTCAATGAAGTCACTGCTTTTTCAGGTTTGCCTTTATGATCTGTGATCTCTACTAATGGATATTGCCAGGGCAGAAGTCTAAGTTATGTGACCAGTAAGTTGTCAGGGAGGAAAGGCCAAGTATAACATTATCACACTGTGCCCAGTGCATGTCAAAATAAGGAATGTTTAACACATAAAGAATTCTATGAGGTAATCAGAATGAGAAGAAATATTTCAACAAAGTGACAAAATACTCTAGAGAACTACAGTTCTGCACCTTATCTTATAGATTACAATCAGAGGAAAAGGCACAAGAGTTTCCATAAAATCCATTGCTGATAGATTAGGGAGTCAGAAGAAGGCTAAATGTGAAATCACTGGCATTGGATAAAAAGTAAAACAAGTAGACAAATATTACTTTTACACTGGTGACTACAGAATAGGTAGCAGTTAACAATTAATACAAAAACAACAATGAGAAGTTTTTTGGTTTCTGCTCTTGTGCAGTGAGGGTGATAAGGGACTTAAGAGTTGGAAAGTTTAGTTTGAGGTAAATAGTTATAAGCCTAGTAAGTAATGAATAGGTTAAAGCCTTTGTTTCAGAAACTACAGATAAGGCCCGTCCTGGCTCCTGGGAAAACAGTCAATCTCCTGGGGCACTGCTG